AACGGTAACATGAAACAGTAATGGTTAGTTTTTTTATGAAAATCATCCAGCCATTCGGCAACAGGATACACGTAAATCCCAAAATTTAAAGTCAATAAATATAAGATAAATTTTTTTAAAAAAAAAATCATTTATTTTTTTTTTTCATCATGTTTATTCGCTTGATGACAATCTTCAGAGAGAAAAGAGAGTCGATCCTTAAATTTTTAACAGTATTAGTACTCTTCACAACAATAGCTTATGTGACGATTCCGAAGGTATTGATTGCTGCCGGAGTGAAGAATGGCGATTCTTTGATTTCTTTGAGTTATACAGAGCCAACTAGCATACCCGTGTTAAATTCGTTTGTCTGTGGACAAAACGTGACAAGTATAACGGTTCAAAAGTTGATACGCGGGGCTGGTGGACAGAAAATTGACCGCGCCTTCGACTTACCTCAAACTTACGTGTTCAACGCGACTACCAACAACCTGACGACCGGTGACTGGACGGCCCAAACCGGAGAATGGCCTTGCTTTATTTTTCGTTCCAATAATGATCTCAAATTTCAAAAAGGTGTTCTCGATCAAATCATTATTCTTGTATTTTTTCAAAATAATTATATATCCAAAGCCGACAATGGTTTGTTGTTCGGGTTATTTGACCAATCGAAAAAAATTTCCGAGGTACAACCATTTGTCGGCCCTTTACCATCCATAAATACCTTTACGTTTACCAGATCAGAAAAGAATGAGATCAATGGAACCATATTACCTTCTTTCACGGTGAACATGCAAAATATACAAGTTCAGAACGGTGGATTCGGTAGTAATAATCTTGGGGCAAGATTTTTGTATTCTCCCGATACTTACCAGGTACGTGCAAACGGACCATTACTAACACGTTTGTGAGTTTAATTTCTTTACACGTTTCTTTTACAGGTTCTCGTCTATGTTGAGAAGAGGCCTTATAGCTATTATAGTTTGTTTGGTGCAGTTGGAGGACTACTTACTTATTCATTTGGAATATGGACTTTTCTATATGGACGCGGAAAATACAAGCCTTGGGGAATAATGCAACAATACATCCTAAAGACTTCACCCAACTTTCAGAAGGAGTTTTACCTTCTTCCTTATCACCAAGGTTCACCCCTTCTCATCGAAACTTCTGATCATATCTCTTCGGCACCCCCCTCCACAAGCGCGCCGCAAAACCATTATACGAATTTAGATGTCATCTCACTTCCCGGAGACTCCTCATTCTGTGCTGGAGATTACGAGCTAATGAAAAAAATTGATGCACGAGTCAATGAAAAACTTTGTTTCATGGAACAAAACCTTATCCGTCACTATTTATCGGGATTTCAGACAAGAGATGACTGTGTGTCAAATATTCAAGCTGTCAAAAACAAATTATCAGAAGATAATAAGTAGGAGCATTAATTCCACCCACTAAACCTCACTCAGAAATAAAATATAGTAAAACAACATCTAGTTACAGGTCAGAAATCGTATTTCGCATTTGATCCTGCTCACCAAGCATAGACGGGACGAATCATATATTGACGTAGCCCCTGGGGAGTGTAGATACTAAAGATGGCGACGTATATGAATTTTTAATCACATTAATGTAACATGTAAATAACAAATGTTTTTAGAAGTCTTTTTTAAAAGTAGTTCAATTCCTTTCTGCTTGAACATTTATAGATTGCACGTGATACTTTCTTAAATAAAGAATACAGTTGAATGCTTATAACAATGATAGACAGAAATACTGTATGTACTAGGCTAATCAAATTCTTGTTCGGTTTCTTCAATGCTATGAACAATCCTGGTAGGTGGAAAGCTATTATTCAAGATATAATCTGCATTAATCATATCGTTATTCTCTGTCCTATTGATCGCCTCTTCCCTGCTTTCATCTTTAATAAACATGTATTCAGTCGTGCAACAGCAACAATGAAGATCATGCAGAAATACATGTACAGTATTATCGTACCGATGTGGCTTTTAATGTGTCTCTTGATAATTCTTTCTTTTGCGATTTCTCGATCAACTTGAACAAACCATAGTTCGTCCATGTGAGACGCGATAGAACTCCAAATAGGCGGCTTCCTTAAGTGAAGGTAGAGACCTTCAAAAATTATTATCTTATGACTATTAAAGGTTAAAACTGAGAATTGTTAAGTTTATTTAACAACTACATTATAAAAATACTGTAATATTAATATTAATGTTAACCTGGGTAATACTTTTATATCATCGGAAACAGGATCACCTCGACCATGATCAAACGACGGCGCACCAATGACTGTGTCATTCTTGATTGGAGCTCGGAGCCTTTCAACGAGAATGAGGAGGCCTGTATTAGATGCTCGACGATTAAAACTATATAGTGATAATCATTGTGCTATTCTATTTCTTTTTTTTTTTTTCTTTAATAAAATGACAAAAAATTAACCTTGTGCATCAAATGTCCAATGTGCTCCTCGACGAAAGAGTGCTTCATCAGGGTCCTTTTACACCAAGAATTTAGATTTTATAAAAAAGTTTTACAAGTATTCTACATTGATGACCATACCGAGAAAGTGCGCAACTTTTTTTTGGTATAATGAAATCCATCCATGGGCACAACGATCGCTTTTTTTGTTCCGCTCAAATGATTTATACGACTAACGATCCTTTCGGATAAAGTCGACTTTCCTGTAAATTAAAAGCGTCATTGGAGTAGAAAATTCATCGAAATATATACAGCATATATATATTTCATCTTTATTATTACCCGATCCGGGTATCCCTGCAATTGCAATTAGACATCGAATCTCTGGCGAAAGACTGAATTTAATTATTTAATGTATAACGTGTTTACTCAAATTAACATGAAAGAAAGCGGTACTATCTCTTTACTGACGATTTCTCCTTTTGCACAAGATAATTCGAGAGTGAATCATAAGTTTCATCCATTCTTTAGGAGAGAACTCTTCCCATGACTCCTCATTTACGATGCTTTATGTGACTTACACAAATGTAGCACGCAATTCTTTTTATCAGTTAATTGTATCACATGGTTTATCAGGTAGAAAATACAACGCCTTTTTTTTTTTTTTAAGTAAATTACTTTTAATCGAAATAATTATTTCAAAAAAAAAAAATACTACATAAGCAAATACAATAAGAATATTAAATTTTTTTAAAAAATATTTTTTTAATAGTAATGATCGGTGTTTCCGAACTACAATATTTAAACTTGCTAAGACAAAGCTAAAAAGATTGAGTAATTTAAAAATCGTGAAATGAAATGAAATGCTACACAAGAAAACCATAGAAAACTAGGTTGCTTTTTTAACTCGATAAATTATAAATATTAAAATATTTCAAAATTTTGTTTTGCACAATATCGTATACTATATTATCTATATTATCTTTGTTTATTATTAAAATAAAAAATGACTACAATTACTATATAAAATCGACTAGTGTTATAGGATATATATGAATACCATAAAAAAAAAGTTACTTATTAATTAATTATCTTAATTTATTTTTTATGTGTATTTATTTTATCTTTTTTATTTATTTTATTTTTTATTTTTATTATTTTATTTTTAATTATTCGTTTCTATTTTAATTATTTCTATTTTTAATTATTTTTTTATTAATTGAAAAATAAAATTTTTATACCTCTAGATTCAATTCTATCTTATTCCAAAAATTGATATGTATAAAATTATCGATTTTAAAAATCAAGGTATTATTTGTTTATTTAAAATTATTATTATTTTTTTTTTAAGAAATGGTTCTCACAAATTAATTTTTGTTAAATTTTGTATCATTAAATATTTAATTTTTTTTTTTTTTGAATTATTATATTACATTACATTTAATTAAAATTTTTAACGGTTTGGAATTTATTTGATTTGAATTAAATTTATTATATAAATCACAAATTTAAATATATATTTTTAAATAGATGCAAACCAATATAACTTTATCATTTCAAGATTTTACAATTAATTTTTCTTATTTTATTTTTTAATTATTTGCAAATTTCATTTTCTATAAAAATTATTTTATCCATTAAATAATTTGAAATAATTTAAATTTTATATGATATTCTGATAAAAGAACTCAATGGAAATTTCAAATGTCAAATACTGAATTAAGATAACAAACTATTGACAATTTTAGAAAATCAAAAAACATACAGTATATATTTGTGTGACTTTATCTTGTGAAAAAAAAAGAATATTTCGAATTAATTACCCAACATTCAATTCCCTTTCTCATTTCATATTATTGGGGAAAAAAACAAAAAATCATGAATCCACCTTCATTTAAGAAATATGGGGAATTCGTAGGAAATTAAAAAATCAACAATTTACATTGTGAATATAATGCGAATTTTCATGCAAATCAACAGATTAATTTAAATTGTATGAATTATATGAATAAAGAATATGTGGTAATGTTATGTTTTATCGAATATGCTGAAATATACGAAATGATCTGTACGTTGATTAATGCTAAAAATCGTGAACGTTTTTAACAAACATTTACATAATATTTTTTTTTGTGTATACAATGTCAGAAAGGATATTTTAATACTTTTAATATACACATAATTAATTAGAATACGAATCATTTGACGTGAATATCATTCTCAAGATCTGTGTCGAATAGAAGTCTCGACGCGTAACACCGAAATTGCGTGTGGGGTGATGATGGTTTAGGGGTTCTAGGGTCTGTCATCTAAAAAGCTCATTGTTTCACTTCTCGGCTATTAGTCCACGCATCACGTGACTTGGCTTTTTAATGATGTAAGTGATTGAGGTTCATGCATTACGCACATATAAGAAAATCAATTATTCAATTCAAAAGAGGATTCAATCAAATTAGAACATAATGCAAATATTGATGATAACAACTTTCCATGTAACACATAACGTCATAATGACATCATGTTTGTAAAGGTAACACCAACAAAAATTACATGGATGGTAATACCATCGTGTAAATTACCACTTAACCGCAAAACCTATGTACGTACGTATAAAACATCAAACATGCATTATTGTGCCATAAAAAAAAAAAATTTTTTTTTTATTAGATAATAAAAATTATGTGTAAAGCTTTCTTTTGTATTGCGCCATTTAGATAATCCCGCACTCCCCGTATGTCCCCGTCTTATTGTCATAGTCGCGATTATTAATATCAGATACTACGTTCATTACAAATATCATAACGATAATAGTAAGTATTTTCTTGGATTCCTCTTTTAGTCTTTGAAAATTGCCCCCTCCTACTTTTTATTATTCAGCTTTCTGTTTTATTTATTCTTCCGAAATTCTTTTTTAGTGATATTGGTTTTCTTTAGAATTTATCATACTTATTGTCCTCGAATTTTTTCCACAAACTTCAAATCAATTCTCCGTTCTAGATTCGTAGGGTACACCTTGTTGAGAAAATAATTGTTACTTGCAAAGAACCGAGAATCATCTTTCAACTGTCAAAAATATCTGAAGTATCGGTCGTTCTTTCATTTTTGAGATCTAGTGTCAGCACAAGAATTCTGACCGATTTGGGAGAAAGAAAAGGTGAAGCACTCGTTGATGATCAAAGGTAATGAGAAATTGTAGATCTTAATTACGGGTCAACGAAAATGGATGAATCTGTTTCTCAATAACCCTTTTAAAAAGTACTTTCTTCTCAGGATAAATACTCACGCTATCGTGCAAGGGCTATTTATTTATTTATTTTCTTTCTTTCTTTTTATTAAGAATCATCAATAATAATAAAATGAATATCATACTTGCGAAATCACATATATCAACTAAAAAAAATTTTTCGATTCTTTTTGTAGCGAAATTTTTTATACGACACGGTAGAAAGGATTCATTATATATTTTAGTAACAGCTGGCAAACGTGACAAGTTATTGTTCACGTGATCTTTGAGGAAGGTTTCTGTGAAGTGGACATGAGTGTACTGGATTCCTTCTTTGCAACTATTCTTGACAACGCGGCCCCGACTTTGGTGACTGATCTACGTGGTCGCATTGTATATGTCAATAAACCGACTTTGTGCTTACTGGAGGGATATCACGCTCCCAAGAAATCGTCTGCTTATAACGTTAAGGATCTTCCAGAAACGAGTTATTACATTGGCGATCATTATAACAAATTACTCGAACCCTTGGATTCCCACGAGGCCAAATCATTTCAGAATCATTTCACGAGCAATGCTCAGATTAAAAAGGGTACCGAAGTTCGTAGAGTTTTCAAATGTCGGACATTTAAAAACAAGAGACCAATAATATTAGAGCTTTCGACACGTACATGTGTTCTACCAAAGAATCTCTCGCCTAACAACGTTATGTCGAACCTACGTCAACCTAAAAGTAACGTATCTGAATGTCGATGTGAACATATAGTAGATGTTAACAGTGTTAAAGAAAAAAAGGATAATCAAGTAAGCAATGTTCGTAAAGTGGTTGGCGGTGAGGAGGAAGAGGATGAAGAGGATGGTGACGAACAATTTTATGATGCTTCAGAGGATTCAGAAGAGGATATCAGTGTCTTAAGCAGTCATGTTTACTTCTCTGAGCGACAGGAAACGTACAGAGATCATGTTATTGTCAAGGGGGAAAAGGAACCACATCACAAAGGCAAATTGACGGGTAATTCCGATTCAACGGAATATACTGCTCCTCCAAATGCGAACTCTCCGGAAGATCGCCATTCAACCTTGCACGCGCAGAAAGATCAGGTATTAGTGGTAATGGATCCTTGTTTACCTGCAGATCCAACAAAAAACACAGTTTTCATTAGCACAATTAGAGACGTGACTGATTCAAATTTTGCGGATTTTGTGCTCAGTGAGGCTGAAAATCGAATTACCTTAACATATGACGTTACGGGAATAATACATGAAGTGTCAAGATCTTGCAAGCATATTTTGGGATTTGAACCAAATGAATTGTTGGGACTCGATGGTTACTCTTATATCCATCCTGATGATGCCACCGAGGTTCGCATGTATCATTCAAAACGTGTTTCAGAACCTTATGGTACCACCCTCCAAAGGAATTGCTTTCGTCATCAGAGAAAAGACGGATCTTATTGTTTGCTAGAAATATGGTCACAAGGCATTCAGCCAAATGGTCGATGGACATTTGTAGGCTTCGATGTCACGAACACTACTGAGTGTGTAATGGAAAATCGTGGGTTAATACCCGATCAAGCTATTATTCGTCGTAGGTTATTGCACAATACTGATGAAGATTCTCAAAAAAAATTTGCCAATAATTTCGTTTCCTTTATATGCCACGGTATGACACTCTTTTACTTTCTTCCTGTTCACGAATGATTTTTACATTGCAAGGAGGTGGATCATATCTAATTCATTTGAGAATTTTTAGAGCTTCGTAATCCACTAAATGGTATAATTGGTTATACGACATTTTTACTGGACACGGAACTGACAAAACAACAACGTGACTACGCTGAAGCCATATCTTCCATTAGTAATCACATGTGTAATACCATTAATCAGTCGCTCGACTTATGTCAGACTCAATCCCATGGTACTTACATTTCGGAAATAGGTCCGTTACATTTGAGTGAGGTAGTCAAGTTTTGTTTTCTGACAGTCACGGTGTTGGCTAGGAGTAAGGGAATTGAATTGAGGATGAGGGATAACATCACGCCTTTTCTAAAGTCAAGAGTTCAGGGTGTAGACAAAAATTTTAATGTCAATGAAATTGACTTCGGGTGGTATGGTGACGAAGACACCATTAGAAAAATTCTGTTGAATTATCTAACAAATGCAATCAAACACACGGGTTCTGGCTCGGTGACGGTCGTTCTTGATGTTGAAGATGATAAGTTGCCTGACAACAAGGAAGGATTTATGGCCAAGTGTTCTGTGGAAGACACTGGTCCAGGTATTCCACAAAAGAATCTCAAACGACTCTTCCTCCCCTATTCGAAGTTGGTTTCGTCTTTCGGCGAGATCAACAAGGATTATGATTTTGTCGACGGAGTACATCGCCATCAGCAGGATCAGCCACAGAGGAGCTCTGGTTTGGGTTTGAGTATATGTAAAGAGTTGGCTGACAAGATGGGTGGTAAAGTTGGTGTGGAAAGCACGTTGGGGAACGGCAGCAAATTTTGGTTCACCTTTCCCATATATACTAGCGTACCAGAAGGTTTTGATGATGAAAACGACCCTGAAACTGTTGTTTCTAATGTGTCGGATAACGAATTTGCTGATAAAGAAAAGGCACTTAAAGACTCCTTGTGGAAAAAGGCGTATTCACTTTCTAGTGATGTCGTTAATTCTTGTGAACCTTGTGCCTCTAATGGCGGGCAGAAAAAGTTGTTGAAGAGGAGATCTCCCACCAATGGTAGCATTTCATCAATACGCTCTTTGTCTTCAAATTTGTCATCTTCGTCACGGACAGATCCAGAGCTTTCGGATAATGGTGGTTCTCACAAATTCGGGAGTTTGCGAAAAAACAAAAAGCCTGCAAAAGTGCTAATGGTAGAAGATAATGAAGTAAATCAACAGGTGGCTATAAAGTATTTGGAAAAAATGGGTGAAGAAGTTACTGTTGCTGCTAATGGTGTGGAAGCGTTGGAGAAAATGAAAAATGAATCCTTCGATATTCTTTTCGTTGACCTCCAAATGCCGCTTATGGTATTTTCCTTTTTCTTCGATTGACACTTGAAAAAAAAATGTGATTGATTCTTGTCTAATAAAATTCATTAATGTAGGATGGGTACACATTGACACGCCGGATAAGAGAAGCAGAGCGTGAACCTGGTCAATGCGAGATATCTCTCATCCCATCTGATGTAAATCCAATTTCCTTACCATGTGATAATACCTCCTCATGCCTTCCTTCATTCTCGATACCAACAATACGTCGATCGCCTACGGTGTCGAGCACATCATCATCATCATCATCTCAATCATCGTCACACTCACACTCTACATTACCTTCTCCTATAACGACTTCTTTTTCTTCATCGAACTCATCATCTTTCGATAATTCCCAACAAAACTCTGAAATGTCATCCCCTTCAACTTCTCACAAGTATCATCATCGTAAGCATCTACCCATAGTGGCGTGTACGGGTAGCGTCCTAGATAGAGAAAAAGATAAATGCAGGCAATATGGCATGGATGGTTTTTTGACAAAACCGTATCGTTTGGAAGAAATGAGGTTGTGCATTGAAGAGCTGGTGGATGCTAATGACGAATCAGGAGTTGATTGAACTTATGGAGGATAATGTACAAATAAATTATGGAGATAGCCATCTACGAAAGAACCAGCGAGTCTTTACATATTACACCTATATAGAATAAATAAATTATGGATGGTAGGTTCAGGACATTAAGTTAATCTTTATGAAGCATGTTTTGTTGTTTGACCTGTATATTCTCTTTCTGTCACAATTAGATTATTTCGTTGGGATAAGTGAAATATTTAATGAATATTATTTACCCATTATGAAAATAATACCTGTATCTCAAAAAAATTATGGTCATAATTTTTCCCCTTTCCCTCAACAAAATTCTTGTAAATTTATTAACCGCGCAAATTTCATAATTTTTACCTTCTCACAAATACATAATGTATCTAAAATCAATTCCTTCATATAATTGCTTGACAAGAATATTAATTACATCTTTTCAAATATACAAGGATTTTCTTCAATTGACTTACATTATGCCAGAATATCATTTGTCACCGACCAAAATCTCTGTGGCAAAAAGACGATGTAAAAATTGGGTTGCATTCTTTCGTCGCATTGAAGTAAAATCTGATATACTGCATACGTATTAATTGTAAATAAATTTATCGTTACTATAATAACTTATTATTATTTAAATACAAATAATAAAATTATATCAAAATAAAAATTGATTGTGACATTATGCTATTACAAAAAAAAATTCAAAATTAGGTAAATTAACATAATGTATTTATTTTTTTTGTCATATCTGTTTTATTTTTTCTTTTTATTACTGTATATCTATCATCTCTAATATAATAATGCAAAATATAAATATATGGCTATACTGTATGTTTAAATATAATAATAAAGAAATTTTTTTGTTAGCAGTTAATAAAAAGATATTAAAGAAATTTTACTTGATAATTTTATATACAGTATATTGAATAATTTATTGGTTTAACAATAATTTCAGGTTTTTTTTAATTTTTTTTTAAGAAATAAAAAAATAATAACAAAAGTTAATTTTACTTTAATAATTCAAAAAATAATTATATACAGTAACATTATAAAAAAAATTCTTTTTCAAATTTTTCAATTTGTAAAAAAATTTCTTTTTGAATAAATTGTCAAGAACGGTGAATTGATAAACAGTTTTGATTATTAAGAGTATATAGTATATTTTTTTAGGGATTGGGAAAGACAACTTGTGGTTAAAACTGTAAATACATGTTTTATTATTTTAATATTGTATATATGTTATATTTATATATTATATATAGTTTATTATATATAAATAAGGCTTTATTCAAGTTTAATTTAAGTTATTCAAATATATTAACTTGTTTTATTAACTTATCTAAAGATAAAAACTTGAGATAATATATAAAAGCTTTTTTTTTTTTTGTAAATAAATATTATTTCTTTATTTGATTTGTATATATATATAATATATATTATGAAAACAATATCTTTTATATATTAATACAATAAGTTAAATGTTAGTTTGCTTACAATAATTATATGATTAATATTGAAAAAAAAATTAACCAATATATATTGTCAAATAATACCGAATAATTATAAATATTTACCTACCTAATATTAGAAAAAATAAAATTGAATAATAATAATATTAAATTGTAAGTGTATTTAAAGTAATTTTATTTATACTGAATAAATAAGTTAATAACTATAGAGAGTAAATAAAAAAACTCTTTTTATTGATCCCTTTGTCAATCCAAAAAACAGATATTTTCAAAAATATTTTTTATTTTGATAATAAAGTCTATATACTTTTTTTAAAAAATTTTACTTTCTGAAGGCTAGTGCTTCTTCTACTTGTTTATCTTTTTTTTTTTAAAAAACTTTATATATTTTAATAACAAAAAAACAAAATTTTATCCATTTGGCTTATAGCAAGAACACCTTACTGGAAAAAAAAAACCTGTCATAAAATATTCTTTACTATACTCTCCCTGGATTTGAAATTCTAGAAAATAAATCACTAATAAATATATTTTCCAAGCTCCATAAAAATTTTGGATCTACTATAAGCAAACATTTAATATTTGAAGCAAATGGATAAGCTAATTGGATCTATTAGTAAATATATTTCTCAAGCTCTATAAAAATCTTAGGTTTACTATAAATTAAACTTCTGTGGTCTAAAGTAAGTGAATAAGCTGTTAAAAATCTACCTGTTCAAATATATAATATTTCTTCACCAATTATACATATCTATAGTAGTACTTTTAAACATATCAAATTTTTTTTGATTTTTTTGAAGAATTTTGCCTATCTCAATTTAATCCTGAATTTTTTGTTATATTAGAAATTCTGGTTGATAATTGATTGAAATTTTGAACTGGTTGATTGACATGTAAAAGAAATATAAACAAGATATATACTCCCATATGTTCCATATCATATTACACTACAACTGATAATACAATTGATTAATGATAAAAGAGCAAGGTATCAAGATATTCTTTTAATAAAAAATGACTTAAAATTTTCTTTCTCCCTCTTGTGCCAGTTTCTTTTCTCTTTAAGATTAAAAAGAATTTTTATTAGACTGGTAATTGATTTAGATAGATTTTTATTTTATTAATACAAATCTTTTCCTTTTTTTTTTATCTATCTCTTTTATTTTCTCAAAAAATAAAAAAATTTTTATACCTTAAGACTATAGAGATTAAGTTAGGATAATAGTCTTGATAAAAGGCTAATAATAATATTTTAGATTAACAAGAAATGTTTTTTTTAATTGAACAATTTTTTTATTTTTCTTAATTATATCTAGAGACCATTAACTATTAATAGGTATGTTATATTAGTATTAGAAGTTTTACTATTAATATATATATGAATGATACTATATGTATTTCATAATATCTGTACTAAGATCTATTCAATCCTAGAGTTTAAAATTAATAAACTTAAGCATATGGTCTGAGTAGGTATAAAAAAAAAAACTATAAAGAGTAAATTAATATAAATTTTTTCTTAAATAGTATTAATAATTAAGGTTTTAATTTATAAAAAGATATTTTTTTTGATTTGTAAAGGTCAATTGTATCTAATAATTTGCTTAGAATCTATTTGATTCCTATAAATAATAAATATTGATTATATTATACTGTAATTTTTAAATTATATTATATATTTGTATTAGAACTTCAATTGATATCTTAAATCAATTAATAAAATCTGCTATAAAGAAGATTTAATTAGTTATACTATATATTAACTTAATGACTTGCTATATTCAAGAGATTGGTCTAAGATTATTATTTAAATAGAGAATTTGATTAATAAAGTTTATAATTTAATTAACTTCTTTTAAGACTTTAAAACAGTTAACTATATATTAAATATTCTTGATATAAAATTTATATCTTGAACAATATAAGTTTAAATATTGATCTAAATAAAGTTGATAAAGAATTTATAAATAAAAAAAAATCCTGATAGAAGTTTGATTTTAGATACTATTAGAATATTATATTTGTTCTTGTATAATTTTTTAATATTTTTATTGAATTAATTAATAACTTTAAGTCCATATGGAATATATTTTTTTTTTTTATTATCGACTAGCTAGGCCTTATCCAATGTTGACTGAATTTATTTAGTTTACATATGTATCTTACATATTTTTACACAAGTAATTATTATCTATAAGCTATTCTAGATCACAATTAGACTATATTGGATTTTACCTCCATATCGGCTTCTTTGCTATTGACTGCCATCTCAGACAAGTCAAGGCTAATGTGCATATGTTCCATTAGTGTCGTTATTTTTATGTTAAGTTTTATTTCTAACTGGGAATATTTAAGGGGAAGTGAAAAGGGAAACTGGAGAGTAGTACCTATTATGATGAATAGAACTCTGTAGAGAAAACCTCTAACCCAAATCAGACTATTGGTAACTTGTAGGAAGAGACACCAGGTACTACGGGAAAGCAATCACCAAGTCATCTTTTCTCAAACCGGACACCTTTTACATCTTTTGTTATTCAACTTCTGGCGATCATCATAGCACCAACCAGACGATCGTCACACCACGACTCCTTTTCTGAAGATTACAATCTTAACGCCTATTGGATCAGCATGTGAAATGGCTTCTTATAAGAAATGGCACATAACTGGCTATGATGTTGGATACTATATTAATTCTATTCAATCACCTTCATATGAAATTGAACTGCTATCTTGTGATCTAATCTGTGAAGCACTAACCACTGTACTATAGATTCACAGATCTGTCCATATGGAATATATAAATATCCAAAGATTTAAAGAACTAAAAAGTTTTACAAATAATATAAGTTTTAATAATACTAAAAATCTTTTTGCACCATCTGATACTATTATCCAAATATAAGTTATTAATTAAGAAATTTTTTGAAAAATATGATAAAAATTATTCAATTATATAAACTTAATTAATACTGACTTCAATTTAGATTTGATATATATAATTTTTATATATAATGTTTGATTTTTGAATTATTAAAGAAAAATTAATTTTAACTATTTTTTTAAAATACTTTAGAATGAATTAATAAATTTTCTTGTTGTTTTTAATTTTAATAATACTGTTATAAAGATTTTATTAAACAATATTCAATATTATAAATAGTATATTGCTTGATAATAAGTTTGAATTAAGAAGATTTACTTTAACATTGTTAATAAATAAGTAATACTTATATACTTGAATATAATAGTATTATTAGAGACCAATTTATTAAAGGATTGCTTAAGAAGAGTGATTGAAAAATATATTAATTGTTTAAAAAATATATTTGTTATTTTGAAATAAGTTATGGATTTCATCAATTGAATTTAAGAATTGATATTTAAAATTATTGAATAGATTTAAAGATATTTATAATAAGAATATAATTGTACTTGTAAATATTATTCAGAAAAAACTACAGAATGATGAACAATTTTGATATATAAAGAGATTGCTATTATTAAATTGATTGTAAAGTGTTTTTCTTTAAGTATATTTTTTTTTATATT